GTGAAAATCCACCCACACCAGATTCAGTGAAATTCAGTGTCCAGTCCTCTGTCCTCGAATCCTCCTTCGACACACCTACTCCGTGAGCCGCACAATGTTAGCACCCCCGTTTTTCATCCTAATGTCGTGGAACATTCCCAGACATATTGTTTTGCAGGCAAGCATCCTACTAGTTTTTTTGGAAAAAAGTGTGGGTAGTATTGTGACAAAATGAATGAAGCCCCAAGAACATAAGAAGCAAACTCTCACCTTCCTCCACGCTGTCCTCCCCACTTGGGAACAAACGGCCAAATCTTCCAAGTGTCCAACTGCCCCCAGCATGAATTACAGGGTCAGATAAAGTTTCCCAGGATTTCTCAGTTGGAATATCTCAGAGGACATCAGAATTCACACCTTCTCAGAGGCAGAGCTTCCACAGCCCAGCAGGGACGAGGTTGGCTAGATTTAAATATGACCTTGCCCAAGTGATGGGCTCCTAATCTTGTGCGTGTGCCACCTGAGGTCTGAAATTAAATAAGAACTTAAATAATATCAATAATAATAAGCTAATGGTCTCAGAAAACAACCAATAACTCTTGACGACACCACTGGTTTCCCCATGAAATGACCCAGAAATGAAGAATAAGTGAAGAAATTCTATACCAATGATGTGTCACTACCCAGATCTGGGTAGTGCTTTTGATTTGTAGTGCCACAAGTAATATGTGCTTCAACCAATCAGAAGCCCTACCCAGATCTGGCTAGTGACATGTCATCAGTATGGAACTTCTTTGCTTATTCCTGATTTTCAGGTCATTTTACAGGGAAACCAGTGGTAGCGTCATGAAATCTCAGCTGTTTTCAAAGCCTTAGCTAATGCAAGCCTAGCAACAAATATTATTACTTAAGGCAACTAATGCAAGCTCATTAGCGTATTAAACAAAACTAGATATTTCTTGGTACTACAAACGCCCCTGTAATGTATCTATGTAGTCAGTCAAATAATGCTCTGATTATGTGAGTAAAAATCAGTGGAAAAAAAAAGAATGCCACGGAGTCGATTCCTAAAACTGACTATGGGAAATAAAAAAAAGAAAAAAGAAAAAGAATACAGAGAGTGAATGCAGCACCAAGAAAATTAATTATTAAAAAAGAATATAAATGCAATTAAAATTCTCCAGTCTGCTTTGTTTTAGACCTGGGTGGAAACCAAGTTCTCAAAATTTAATAATAAAAGAAGTTTCAGTTGTGAAATAATCAGCGATTTGGAAAAACCATTGTTACTACTGCAAGTTGCCTAGAAAAAAAAATTAAGCACAAGCAGACTGGAGTTTGCCTGATAGACATTATGTACAAGTAAACTAATAAAAAATCTAATTTGTGTTGTAATACTTAAGATCCTGGCTACTATTCCTAAATCTTTTCCCCAGCCTCACTGTTTCCAAAGAGAATTTCCTGTTGCTTTGGAGTTCTTTTTTAAACTTAATCTGAATGGACAAAATCATTTGTGCACCGATTGGATCTAACTTTGAAGTCCCAACAGAGACCAAAATCAATCATCAACTTGTTGAAAATCAAACAAAAATGAAACTATACCTTCTTGACATACCTACTCCTTACTAGTCCAGTAAGAGGATCAGTAAGGACAATTGGGACTTCAAGGATTAAGGACATTGTGGCTATAAATGCTTTCCTATTCCTATCCAAACTGTACTTTGTAGATTTAGCCTGCAAAACGTAGATGCAATTCCAGCTGTAGCTTTGTGACCACTGAAAGTCAGAGATGGCTGAAAAGAAAACTACTTATATTTTCCCTTAAAGGAAAATCATCAAAAGTTTTATGGTTATCATCTATACATTCTACCCTTATAAATTATAGGTCATAAGTAATCTGTATTGCTATTTTTATCTCGGAAATGTAACGATGTGTACCTGTCCAGTACTATTCCTTGCAGCCTGTATGGTCCCTGAGTTTAGAAGGTAATGTTATTTAGGAGTATTAAAGTTAATATTTTGCTAATGAGCTTGCTGTAGAGTGTTAATTTTAGAAATAAGTTATAACTAATACTGTATTGATGAAATCCTGGTTCTTCAAACCTCTTGATTACCAAAACTTGTTTTCCTTTCCCTGAAGTCACTGAAATTTTTTAAATTTCCCCTTGGGCTTTCTCCACAAGAAAATGGCAAGAAAGCCCAAAATCCCAAAACGCAAAACGAAGCTTAGTACCTCTCTAATTCTCTGAACTCCCACCTTTCTAAAATCTTCATTTTGACAAGAGGTTCAAAAAACTATAATTCCACTCTGATAATATAACACAGGAAGCGCAACAATTCCTATGAAAAAGTAGAGTTCTGATAGAAGATGGACCTGTGCAAAGAATTATAGTGTGTGGCAAACTTTGACAAAAGGAATAAAATTAAAGTAAAGCTAAATATTCCCGCTTGTATGAATTATTTCTGCTGTGATCAGAATGTGACGCTTCCTATGCCTTCAAAATACAGGCAACATTGTGCTGCCAACTGTTCTAAGAAAATGAAAGTCAGTGAATGGCTAATGCAATCATAGTCCCAGATAATATTACGAGAAAACTTAGTCTACTCCCACCTTTACTGGCAGCACAATGTTAACAACTGTATAGGATGTAAAACCTCTTTTAAGCCCCACCCACCCCACCCCCCAACCCAGCACTATCAACCTCTATTTCTTTAAGACTAATTTTGTAACCTGATCCTCCTACATGACATTCTCCACAACTTACCTTAAAAGCCATTCCTCTTGCAGGAAATTCAGGAACTGATTTCCATCAAACCAATGCAAGAACATTTTGCCAGTGGGAAAAAGATTATCGATCAAAAATACTTCTTTGCCCCTAATTTGTCCCCTTAATATTGAGATAAGAAATATCCTTTCTTCATACCCCCTAATCTCCCCCCCCCCCTCCTACACCTCAAATCCTTCAACCCTCCTTATAAGGTAGATGGAGGCTTAATTGAGCTCTTACAGTTTTAAGTAAAAAATAATCTATAAAATATCCACACCCACCCAACTACTATAACTATATAAATTATTAAAGATTATAATAACGATCATCATCACTATTATTTTAGCAAGATTTCCTTTGAGCAGTGAAGTGCTAGGCCCAAGTGTAGTTAACTTATGAGATTTTGGAGTAGGGATGTGCCATTGCACCCTGAAACCCCTTGCCCATACCAGAGCATTCAGCTAAATACTAGACCAAATGGGTCTAAAAACTAATCTTTGAAAGCCCTCCTCTCTAACTGGTGATTGGATGACATAACGTTTCGCAGCTTCGATAAAATTGCTAATTCCTGAGGAAAATGTCATTTATAATCACTTATTATTATTTAATATTGGCTACAGTGTTTCGTTCACTTTGTCTGGCAAAAAATTATTCTCCCCTGAGGTAAAAAAGACCTCCTTTGTAAAACTGAATAACATACTACTCAAAGGAATCTTGCGTTTGATCTTAATAATTATTAACATTTACGTAGTACAAATAAGCATCTTGATGCACTTTCAAATTTTGTCTTCGCCCATGAAATTTTTAGGAACAAAATACTCCAATTTGAAAAAATGAAGACCACAAACTTACTTAATTTAGGAAAATGCTGCCTATTGATAAGTCCCTGTCCAGTTAAAAAATAAACTGGATGGTCACTTATTTACATAAAAATATATTATGTCATGAAATTCAATCTCAGACTTGAAAACAAAATGTTGAGAAAACTTTCGAAGTGATGCTTATTTGTACAAATATGGTGGCACACACACTGTAAAATAAATCTGTTCATTACTATTGTAATATTGCAGATACCTTAAGTATTCCCTCCAATAGTGAATTAAAGAATTCCTTAATAAAAAAAAACCTTTGTTCATCTCACTACATATTCAGCAAAAATGTCATGAAGATACTAGCTGATTTTTAATTGGACGAAATTAGGTTTTCTTTGAATGAGAAAAGTTAAGTCGTTTGAAAGCTACTAGTATAATTCAAAGGAAAAATATTGCAAGTGAATCAATTCACTCTTGTTGGGAATACCATGGACCTGTTTTTACTAATACATGAGGGTCCTATTTGAATGCTGAAATAGTCAATATTCTTCAGCTTTTGGTTTTTTGTTTTTGGTGTTTTTCTTTTTCGCTGCCAAACTAAATGAATTTGCCTATTGCTGTTGAATGGGGGTTGTGGAACAACAGCTGGGTGAAAAACCTCCCCGTACGTCCACTTGCTCCTAGGAGGAAAACCCCGGGCCAGCTGTACCCCGCATTCAATGACCTCCCGGGCTGGGTCAGAATGGTCTTAGATCAAGTAGCTGCTTTGAAGTAGGTTACTGGCTTTACTGTTAGTATTAATAATTATGATTGTATAAATACTAAACCAGGTATTCATTGTCGGTCGACGTCTTTGATGATACCATCCTCTAGTGCAGCCTCTTTACTCCTGGCTTTTGAACTCCTGTGTTGCGAGATTGATGAATTGCGAACCAATAATACCAAATCTGTTGTTCTTCTGTGCCTAAGAAGAAAAAAAAAAGAGTTCATCATCAATCATTGGAAACCTATTTGTGACTCAAATGATGACTTCTGGCTTGCAGGTATTTAGAGGGACAGAGGCAAACAAAGGATGTACCAACAGTGTAATGTCTAAGATCTAGTCATTTACCCAGGACTCACATGTAAACAACAACCCTATAGCACCACATGTGCATTTCTAAATTAAAGACTACAAGACTGACTGCGATGACTAGGATGACTAAGGTAACTAGGGTGACTAGAATGACTAAGACAACTGGAATGATCAGGGTTACTGGGATGACTAAGATGACTAGGGTGACTGGATGATTAAGATGACTGAGGTGACTGGGGTGACTGAGGTGACTAGGGTGACAAGAGTGAATGGGTTGACTGTGATGGCTGGGAAGGTTTGGTTGGCTGGAATGACTAGGATGACTAGGAATACTGGGATGACAAGAGATACGATAAGAGGTCTGGGTTGACTGGGGTGACAGGCATGACTGGGGTCACTGGGGTGACTGGCATGTGCATTTCTAAATAAGGCTACAAGCCTGACGGCAATGACAAGGATGACTAAGGTAACTAGGGTGACTAGAATGACTAAGATAACTGGAATGATCAGCGTTACTGGGATGACTAAGATGACTAGGGTGACTGGGAGGGTTAAGATGACTGAGGTGACCGGGGTGACAGAGGTGACTAGGGTGACAAGAGTGAATAGGTTGACTGTGATGGCTGGGAAGGTTTGGCTGACTGCAATCACCGACAAAATGAGTTGAGACACTTCGCCCAAAACTGAGCTTTTTTACGTTTTATCATCTTTAAAAGGAGGAAATATAGCTTTCCTCCACCATCCCCTCCGTGTAATGTTGTGCCCTTGTTCTAGCTACCTATAGAAAACAACAAACACCCCCACCTTTGAATGGAGGGGACAGGGGAGGGGTGCAGATTCTTTTGTTCTCCGAAGTTACCCTGTTTAAGTACAATGTCTCAACAATTTTGTCGCCAATTGTCTGAATCTCAAAAGTGGCCGTACGTCCTTTCGAAAGTTAATTGAATTCATTTCTTTATGCTGGGATGTAAGACCCCTGGTGGCTTTTTATTTGTTGTGTTCGACTTCATCATACCTATTTTAGAACAATTATTTTAGGCGATTTTGTTATTTTCAGTGTGTGACATTTCGTGTCACGCTTAACCGTGCCTTGACATCGTGTGATGTGGCTAGTCACGCACGATTTTTATTCTCTCCTTTATCGAAACGCATCGAAACAAAGAACAAAGTGAAAAGGATAGAAAACTTAATAGATATCTAGGCATTAAAGTAGTTATAGTGGCTAAAATTGCTTTTTAGGAGGAATTTCCACGAGTAACCACAATGAGTAAAAAATAAAATAATCTGATTATCTTTTAAGAACAAACTTGGTTACTCGTGGTTACTTGTGGCCAGTCTCCTCCTGACCTCATAGTTTCTACTGTAAAGTACATTCTTCAAAGACCCTTATGGGTATATGGGCAACAAATCTGCTGCACAGATTTAGCGATGCTATGCAGCTTTGCTGTGCGTTAGAAGTTGGAACATTTTTCCTCAAAATTCTCCTGCGCATAGCAATCACGGCTATTTTATCGTCCATCCCACCCTTTCAAATAGCCAAACTTCGAATAAACACTTCGAACTTACTAAAAATATAGGGATATATTCAAATACAATATATTATCTGCCATCGATTCCTACCGATCACACTTAGTTACCAGAGGAAAATCAATCATTCAGTACGTGGGTATACTGCGTAATTACTTGAAAACACTACCGAGTACAAAGATTGTCAAAACTAATTTTCCCTCGAAAAACACAGGAAAGGGATTATATGGGTATCTTATCTATCTTCTGAAAAACCACCCAGTGAATATAGTAATCTCAACTAATAATATTACCATCTCCTAACCGGTGCTAATAAGACAACAGCGCGTAGATTTCGATTCAGACAATCACCGACAAGATGAGTTGAGACACTTCGCCCAAAACTGGGCTTTTTTACGTTTTATTAACTTCAAAAGGAGGAAATATAGCTTTCCTCCCCCATCCCCTCCGTGCAATGTTGTGCCCTTGTTCTAGTTACCTATAGAAAACACCCCAACTTTGAATGGAGGGGACAGGGGAGGGGTGCGGATTCTTTTGTTCTCCGAAGTTACCCTGTTTAAGTCAATGTCTCAACAATTTTGTCGCCGATTGTGGAATGACTAGGATGACCAGGAACACTGGGATGACAAGAGATAAGATAAGAGGACTGGGTTGACTAGGGTGACAGGCATGACTGGGGTGACTGGGGTGATTTGGATGACTGGCATAACTCTTATTAATGGGATGGCCAGCATCACTGGGATAACTAGGATGACTAGGAAAATTAGGGTAACTGTGTTGAATGGGATGAAGAGGATGACTAGGATGGCTATGATGACTATGATAACTGGAATGACTAGGATTACTGGGTTGACTGGGATCACTGGCGTGACCATGACGACTAGGATGACTAGGGTGACAGGGGTGGCTTGGATAACTAGGATGCCTTGCATTACTGGGATGTTAAACTGTCAAAGGTTTGAAACCTGGAGTCGTTCAATAAGTACAAAATGTAGGTTGAACATGATCATCCAGGTGATTGTACTCCTGAACAGGACTGTTGTTGACAATGATTAATGTTTTGACAAACTGTGCGGCAGTCATCTTCACAGTCAAAGTGAGTTGTGTCATGTCAGTTGATAAAATTAAAATCTGGTTATTGACCTGATTGGTCAATTAAGTCACGATGATATTGGTTGTCTGTCAGTTAGGCTGTGATGTTATTTGGATGAATAGACTGAACAGCAGGGGTGACTGGGATGATTGTGAAGAAACGAATAATTAAAATAACTGAGATGGCTTAAGGTGGAGTAGGGAACTGGGATGTATGGCTGTCAAAAATGGCCAGGGGCTGGGGATTTCCCCTGACTACTACCAGTGTGACCCCCATCTACTTTCATATAGGAAACAAAAGGAAAAAAGAACCAAAAGAACTTCCTAGCCATTCCATTCACTGCCTTCTAACTTCATATAACCACCAACTTGAAAAGTATATTAGTGACAGGCCTGGAGATGGCTGAGGTAATTGGGAGACTGGGATGACTAGGGTGATGAAATAACTGAGATGACTGCATGGGGTGACTGGGATAATTAGAATGACTTGGGTGACTGGGATGATTTGGATAACTGGAATCACTGGGATTACCTGGAATGACTGGGGTGACTAGGATGACTGGGGTGACTCGAATGACTAGGATGACTGGGATGACTGGGATGACTACGATGACTAGGGTGACCGGGATGACTCGGTTTAGGATGGCTGGGATTACTTAGATGACTAGGATGACTGGGATGACTGGAAAGACTATGATGACTAGGGTGACAAGGATGACTAGGATGACTAGGATGACTGGGATGACTAGGATGGCTGGTTGTGACCGGGATTACTGGGATGACTGGGATGACTGGGATGACTGGGATGACTAGGATGACTGGGGGTGACTAGAATGAGTAGGATGACTGGAATGACTTGGGTGACTAGGGCGCTTTCCATTTTAAATTTGTCGGAAATGACTGGCCAGCCTATTCCCATCATAATGAGAATTTTAGTTTTAATCAAAACTAACCGTCCAGATCAGTCAAAAGCTAAACATTATACACAAAGGAAATGGTTTTTCAGCAAAACCTCTTGGAAAATGCCTATTGTATTTTAAAAATGTCTGGTTCGGCCTTGGTCTAGCCGGCCAGTTCTGACTTTCGAAAGTGCCCTAAGATGACTAGGGTGACTGGGATGACTATAGTCAGACTAGGGTGACTAGGATGACTTGGATGACTAGGGTCACTAGGAAGACCAGGATGACCGGGATGACAAGGATAACTAGGGTGACTGGGTTGACTAGGAGGACTAGAATTACTGGGGTGACTAGGATGACTTGGATGACCATGGGAATGAGGATGACTAGGATCACTGGGTTGACTAGGATGACTGGGTGACTGGCTGACTGGGATAACTGAGAAAATTAGGCTGGCTGCGATCACTAGAATAACTAGGATGACCAAGTGCTTTCATAGCTCTGGGCTTCATGTGCCAGCTCTACTGGACGTATAAAAAACCTACCCATTCATGGAGCTGCTTATAAAGAATTTAAACCAGTAAGTTTATCAAAGCAGCTGAACAGCATACCTTTCATACAGCCCAGTATGCAAATTCAGTGCATGAGAGGTAGGTTTCAAATTATACATGCTTTGACACTATGCAAATTTGTGATGTACTGTCAAATCAAAAATGCGGTTCAGCAAATGCACAGTTTTCTTATTCTACCGCTGTAATTTGTGGAATTCATAAAATTGTAGTGACTGTATAAAAAAAGCTATCAAGCACAATAAGCTACCATCATTTTGTGGTATTTATATATGAATTTTTATCAATGCTGTTGATATCTTGTGGACGAAAGTTGCCACTACACACATGAAAGATAACCACACACTTCAAAAGAGCTGACATTTAATTTGGTTAAGAAACTCATCACTAGCAATTTGCAGTATAGTTGGTTCTTCTCACGCTGGTTTTTTCATTCACAAAATCAAGGCAACTAAAAGAGATTTTCATGTTTCAGGGAACAAATGGTCATGATCGAATGCAGTGTTAACTGTCAATCCCTAACAAATACGAAAACTAAGAAACTCCAGTCAAACAGTGTGCTAATAAAATGAAAAGCTCAAAGAAAACTTCCTGAAAGAAACTTAAAATTATGCAAAATCTAATGTCCATTTTCTTCAGTCTTTGAAGCAACACTACAGGAAATGGTTTCTCACTGGACATGTCGTCTATAATTTGTGCCAAAAATTACCGCTTCAATGATTCTCATAGTGTGACGCAATTCTTATCAAGCAGGAAACAAGACACAACTGGTAACTTACTTTAGAGTGGTAAGTAGGATGACTATAGGGTGAATGGGATAACTAGGATGACTGGAATACCTAGGGTGACTATGGTGACTGGGATAACTGGAATGAATAGGTTGACTGGGATGACCAGGATGACAGGGATGATTTGGATGACTAAGGATGACTAGGGTTCATGACGAGGATAAATGAGGATGACTAGGGTGACTGGGATAACTAGTCAAAAAAATGACTGTGATTTCTAGGACGACTGGGTTGACTGGGGTGACTTTGGTGACCAGGAGGACTGGGGGTGGGTGGATGGGAAAAGTAGAATGACTAAGATGACTGGGATACATTAGGATGACTGAGACGAATAGGATAACTGCATTGACTGGAATTACTGAGTTGACTGAGATGACTAGGACTAAGCTTATCCCCTGATAGGTACCCCTGAGCCTCTAAACAAAGTCTGTCATACCAGTCTGGAAAGTTAAAAAAAGAAAAACCTTTTGATACCTGGAAAGCCTGAAATCACCATTGGGACACTGCCATCCTCCTGCTGCTTTTGATGTCATTCTCCCTTTAATTGAAGAAATTTTTTTATATCCAACTTGTGATGGGCAAGGAATCTTCCAGAACATTCCCAAACGGGGATGGGTCTGTGAAATGGCCTGCAGAGATGTAAGAATTAATACAATTAATAAATTTCACTGCCAAGTAAAAAGGAAGAATTAGTTTCCCTATGTATATATGGAAATTCTTTTTTCCTGCAAAAATTCATGTTTCCTACCAGATTAAATAAATGAAGTCTTGCTTTGATATTTTTACTGTCAAACCAACAAACCTGCAAACACCAGAAACATTTCTAGAGCACGTGTTTTAAGAAAAAAAATCTTGACAATCAGGCATGCGAAAACTAAACCGCAAGCGAAAAATGATAAATTAGTTTGCGATTTTGTGGAAAACTCACACATCCTGATATCTGCTGTGACTGGTCATTCCTGAAATATTTCTAGTGTTCATGGTTTTGTCAGTTTCATCGTAAAATTCATTAAAGATGTTTAGAAAGAGGCTACCAAATCCTGCCTGCAATAGCAAATTTCTAAAATCTGGGTCCAGTTGTTCAAAGGCCGTTAAACACTAATTTTGGGTAAAATAAATTTTAAATCTGGGCTTCTTTTTATTCAAAAGCATTTTCTCTAACAATTTTTTCAGTCTGATATTTTGAAACATCCAGTCATCAAATTAGAGACTTAAGGCTTTCATATTTGCATTGAAATTTCCCACTAAGCCCTGGGTTATCTTAACCCAGCTTTGAACAACTCAGTCATGTTAATTTTTAATTTTTTTGTGATCTGACAACAGCTTTAAGTTGGTTTGTGAATACCAAACCAAGAAACATTAAATGAGTGTAATAATGCGAACTGGTCCTTTAACTTAAAAAAGTGACTGTAGAACAACAGCTGGGTGATTATAGCCTGCCCCAAATGTCCACTTCCTCATACATATAAGAGAAAAACCCTAAGCAACACAGCTGAACCCTAATATCAGTGATCTCCTGGGTTGGGTCATAGAAAGTGTAAAACCAAGTCACTGTCATGAACACCGGTAACCATTAGCAATATATCATTTTTGACAGCATACTAACCAAACCAGATGCCTAGAGTATGATGCTGTTGTAATCTAAATCCGGACTCTCCTCCACAGAATGCAGTCCATTTCTATTAACCTCTGACCAGCTTGCCTGAGAAAATAAATAACCCATCTTTATAAGCACACAAACTAGTGATGATATGATAGTTAACTCTTGTTAAACTCATCAACAATAGATGGGTGTGAGCAAGGCGCCTGGTGAGACTGAAGGGAGCTGCAAGCGACGAAGATGACCGGGATGACTAGGATGACTGGGTTGAATAAAATGACTAGGTTGACAAGGATAACTAGGATGACTAGGATTACTGCAGGGTGACTAGGATGACTGTTATTACTGGCACAATAGTTTTAAAACTTTGCTGTTACTCATTCCTGAAACCCTCTTATGGATAGGTGGATATTGCATTTTAGTAAAATCCAACTAGTGGTCTATCATCAATGCTGCGTTCTGATTGGTTGAGCTACTATAAGGCTATATGTTATAGCCTACTAGTAGCGAAAAGTGCGCACCTTTTGGTGGCAAAAAAGGATTAAAGTCTAGCTTTAACTAGCTAAAAATTTTTTATCCTCGATATTTTTGACCAACTAGTGGGATTTTACTAAAACAACAGTACATACAGTGTGGCATTTCTGTCGGGCGTCTGATAGCAGAAAGATGGAGCAAGTACAAGAGCAAGCGTTAAGGGCCGTCTACTGCGATACGAGAAGTTCATACAATGAGTTCTTGAGAAAAGCTAAACTCGCAACACTAGGCTGTCGCCGATTGCAGGATATAGCCATAATTATGTATAAGGCAAAGTACAATATGCCCTCCCTACATAAAGGACATTTTTAAGCTAGATAAACCTCGCTATGGGCTCAGAAATTCTGGTGACTTTTTTATTCTTCGATACAACACAACAACTTGCGGGAGACAGAGCCTAAGATATGTGGGTCCAGTAATATGGTCTAAATTAAGCAAGGATGTAAAAAATGCAGAATCAATTTACAACTTTAAAAAGAAAATTCGTAAGGTAGATCTTAAAAAAGTAATCACAGAGGGCTGTAAGACCTGCTTTCTATGTTGTACATAAATGATATTTTCTCGACAGAAAGGACACCTCTTAATCAATAAGAATTGTTTTATAATGATAAACCCGAATACGTTTTATCGATATTTTTTTAGTATGTATATTTTTGTAAATTTTATTCTTTGTAGATTTTTTTTATATATTAATTAGTTAGAGCTGATAGTATTTTAATTTAGTGTCCCCTGTTAGTAGGCCTTACATGGCCAGCTAGAAGACCTGACACTGAAATAAAGTTTATCATCATCATCATCATCAACAACAATTATTCCTCTCGCCCTCATGGGCTCGACGAATAATTGTTAAATATACATGTATC